AGCATCTCTCGACCCCCCAAAAAACCAAGGGAGAATCACAAGCACCAGAAGAAACATACGCAGATGTAGCTGGCTGGTCTGAGACAAAGTAACATCTCAAGAACCACCAAATGTCTCTTTCTCCCTTCCCGCCCCTTCTGTTTCTTCTGTCTCTCCTGGAAGTTGACAGTGGTTTTTCCTATTTTGTTTCAGCTTTTCGGCTACACCCAGGGTCGCTCAGGGGCTGATCCCAGCTAGGAACTCAGGGGCCAGTAGCGTGCCCTGGGCCAGGCATGGGACACTGTGTGATTCCAGAAGTCAAACTGGGTCAAGTTTGGGTTTGTTTCCAGGAAAACAAGGGCATCCCCAGCCCCCACCCTCCACTTCCCCTCACTGCTGACCCATGGGGAGTGTCACAGAGCAATTCCACATTGTCAGACTGGGTTCGGGTACCTTGACATCTCCAGACAGGGCTTCGAGACAAGCGCCTGACACTTCATGGGTCTGTTGCAGAAATTCTCCCCAAGAGCCTGGGAAACCAAGCAGCACCACACAGTGAGGACTGGGAAAGCGAAAGCAGTTTATTTCCCCAGTGGACCCAGCTGAGCTCGTGCTCCAAAGACTGGGCCCCGAAGGAGGTGCGGGGTCTTGGCTTCATAGATGTGCGGGCTCGGGCACCTGCAGGCAGTTCGTGGGAGAGCACAGAAGCGGAAACTCCCCGCATGTGGCTCCGGGCAGGGCCGGCAGGGTTTCAGGGCCACTTGGAGGCTGCTCTGTGGTCCAGGACAGGGAACTCTCTCACGGCTGTCCTTACTCCTCTCGAACCAGCAGCTCAGTCGCCCCTTAGCCGCCCATAGCAGAGACAGGGGACGGGGGTCCATTTCCCCCCTTGGCGCCCAGGGGTCTTTCCCCTCTTCAGGTCCACCAGCAGCTCTGGGCTGGCCTTCTGTTTAGTTAAACCCTTCAGGAGCTGCAGGCTCTGCCCAGGGCCCTCTGAGAGACCTTGGAGGTTGCTGATACTTTGTTTCCTACAAGGATTGTTTCCATTCTTGGCCCAGGAAGATAGTTGCCTCTTTCCCTGCAGGTCTGTAAACAGTATCACTAACTCTGTCTGCCAGTGGAGAGGAGGAGGCAAGATAAAGTATCTGATGTGAGCTGGCAAGGGGAAAGTGAGGAATGCTCTTTCAAGGAAAAGTCAAAGGCCTGGGGGCAGGGAGGGCACCTACCTTCCCACGGGGAGGGAAGCAGTTCACACCTTCACTGGAAGGTAAAGTTAGGTGAAGGTGAAGTTTGCTGAGTTAGAGACCCACCTGGTGCTGAGTTAGGGATGCACCTGGCTGTGAGTTAGGGACCCACTTGGTGCTGAGTTAGGGACGCACCTGGCTATGAGTTAGGGACCCACATGGTGCTGAGTTAGGGACCCACCTGGTGCTGAGTTAGGGATGCACCTGGCTGTGAGTTAGAGGCACGCCTGGTGCTGAGTTAGGGACCCACGTGGTGCTGAGTTAGGGGCCCATCTGGTGCTGAGTTAGGGACCCACCTGGTGCTGAGTTAGGGACGCACATAGTGCTGAGTAGAGGCGGGCTTTGTGCTGCAGTCCACTGAGATGTGTGAAGGATGGGGAGTCTGAGCTGGTGTTGGATAGCTGTAGACCCTCCAGACTTTGTGGCCACGCCCAGCTGGCCCGAAAGGGACAGTGAAAGACAGAAAGGCCAGCAGGAAGCCAGGCAGGGCTTGGCGAGGCGAAACCACGCTGTGATCTGCAAAGGAGCATCCCATCCCGTTCTCGGTTTGCTGGTGTTTTGGGGCCGTGCCTGCTGTGCTCAGAGGTCACTCCTTGAAGGTTCGGGGGGACATATGAGGTGCTGGGGCTCAAGCCCGGGTTGGCCGTGTGCATGACCAACACCCTCGCTGCTGTGCCGTGGTGCCAGCTGCTCTGTGCTAGGTTCGGGCCCCAGACATCTCAGCCCAGTCTGCAGACCAGCCTGAGGACCCAGCCAGAATGACCCAGGGCCGCCTCTCAGCTTCAAATCACCAATTTTATTTTATATAAAATTCTCCTAACCAAAAAAGATTCTCCTAACATAAAAATCGAGTCAAACCCTAAAATCTCAGGCGGCCCGAGCTGCAGTCAGTGTACAGCACCGAGTCTGAGCTGCATCATCACTGCTGCCGTCCCCCCCTCCCCCATCCTCCAGAGGAGCAACATCAACAGAACACCCACTGACAGTGAAACACGGTAAACCTTGGGGACCAGAGTATGTCAGAGATGCAAATCAGGACACGGAAGGGCAGAGAGACACCGTCTCATCGCTGCAGTACCTGAGATCGGCAAGGCAGTAACTCTGATCCATACTGGTCATTGGTGGGGAGGGCTTGGCTTGCACCCAGGAGACCTCCGGGGCTACTTCCTGTGGCTTGCTGTTCAGGGCTCATTCCTTGCAGTGCCGGGGGGAACTGACAGTGCTGGAAGTCAAACTCAGGACCCCACAGGTGTAAGGCGAATGCTCTCTCTTTGAGTCACATCCTGGCTGATGTGCCTTTTTGTTCTTTTTGGGCCGCCACACCCGGCTATGCTCGGAGCTTACTCCCAGCTCTGCACTCAGAGAAGGGATTACTCCTGGTGGGCTTAGGGGACCATATGTGGTGCTGGGGATCGAATCTGGGTCAGCCACGTGCAAGGCATTTCCCTGTTGTACTATCGCTCTGGCTGCAGGTCAATTTATTTGTTTTTTTGCCACAACCAGTGACACTCAGAGCAACTTCTGGCTCTGCCCTGGTGGGCTTCATAGGGGGTGCTGGGTATCAATCTGGGTCAGCCAATTGCTTGGCAAGTGCCTTACCCTCTGTGCTATAGCTCTGGTTCCAGATGAATCTTTTTTTGTTGTGTTTTTTTTTTTTTGGCCACAGCCAGTGACACCCGGGTTACTTCTGGGCCTGCATTCAGGAATCACTCCTGGTGGCCTTAGGGGACCATATAGGATGCCTGGGATCCAACCCAGGTTGGCTTCATGTAAGGAAAGCAGCTTGCCCTCTGTACACTCTCTCCAGCCACTCTAGATTGATCTTTTGGTAATTTTTTTCATCTTCAAGGGGGATTAAAAACAGAAATTCCCAATTAGGAGGGAATGCACCGCCCTCCCCAACTCGGTTTCTCTTGTCCTTTTCCCCATTCTCCTCCAGCCAAAAAGAAGAATAAACGACATTGTCTCCACACAGGGTTCTCGTAGCATGAGAACCGCACCGGACTCCAAAGTGTGAGTCATGTAAATTCCCCTCAACTCTGCGGCTAACCACACTGTGTGGAAATCCCCATTTCTAATTTTAAAAATCAAAGGTAAACTTGCTTTCCTTTGAAATCCACTCCCACTCTAACAAACAGACTACTGTAAAACTTAGCCCCGTGCATGTGTGTTGCTCTGATGAAAACAGTAATAAATATAGGAGAACCACACTGACACCCTCAGTCCCCCTTTCCAGCCTAAATTGATAACACCAAGTACTGAGTTTCTCTGTTCTTGCCAGGGCGCTGAAGGATGTTTTGACTTCACTGGGGCTCTTGTGAAACCAGTTATGCAGAGAGATGTTCCTTGATTCTTTGTCACCCCCAATCCATAGCAACCCAAGGGCAACCCGTGAGCAAGGATTCCCCCGAAGGAGGGAGGCCAGCTGAGCTGAGGAGGACCCCGCTGAGCTGCGGTAGTTTCCAGAGGCAGCTCAGGAATAATAAAGCTGATTTCTCGGCTTGGAGAAACGGCTCCCCTTGGCGTGGTGCGTCTCCTTGCGGGCTCCTGGAGCAGTTTCTTCTTCCGGCCTCAGTGTGGGTCCCTTCATCCCTGCAGCCTGGCCAGGCTGCCTGCAAAAGAGGGGGCTCACAGCTCCCCACTCTGCAAAAAGGGGCTTCTCGGTGCAGTTTCTTTTTATTTAATTTGGGAGGGTCTCCCAAAGCAGTGCTGGGTGGACGTCTGGCCACTCGTGCCGCGCTTGCTCTGACGGTTCCATGCTGGAACCCTGTGGTGATGGGGGGTCCCCGCCCCAGAGCTCAGGAAGCAAAGAAGCCCGACTCCGCTTCTCCCGTCCCCCCCCAAATCACCCGAGTCCCCCGTCAGATCCCTGCCACCAGATTAGCCCCAGAGAGGAGTCCTCCTCGCGCCCCTCGCCACCCCCACTGCCCTCGCCCCAGCCGCGCCCCCACCCCGTCATTCCCGGACCCGGCAGGGAGACCCAGGTCCGCCCCCACCTCCCGCCGACCCCGGCGCCTAGCACCCAGAGATCCCGCCCCAGTCCACTGCAAGGTCCTGGCCCACGTCCTCGCCCCCAACGTGCTCCGGACTCCCCCGGCAGGACCCGCACTCATGCCCAGGACCCGCGGGCTGCTAACCCCTTCCTTTCCCCAGGCCCGCCCAGCCCGCCCACGACGAGGACGTAGCCCCGCCCCGTCCCTCTTAGGCCCCGCCCACACGCCCTGGCCCCGCCTTCCCGCCCGGCCAGGCCTCTCCCTCCCGCCTATCCTGGCCTCTCCAGCCCGCCCTGCCCCGTCCAATCGTCCTGGCCCCGCCTTTCCTCCCGTCCTGGCCCAGCGCCCCCGCCGGCCTTGGCCTCTCCAGGCCGCCCCGGCCCCCAGCTCGGCCCCGCCCCCTGATCTGGCCCCGCCTTCCCTCCCGACCTGGCCCCGCCCTCTCGCCTGCGCTAGCCTCTTCAGCCCGCCCCGGCCACGCCCACGCACCCTGGCCCCGCCTCCCTACCAGCCTGGACCCCGCCTTCTCGCCTGCGCTAGCCTTTCCAGCCTGCCCTGGCCACGCCCACGCATCCTGACCCCGCCTCCCTACCGGCCTGGCCCCGCCCTCTCGCCTGCGCTAGCCTCTCCAGCCCGCCCTGGCCACGCCCACGCACCCTGGCCCCGCCTCCCTACCGGCCTGGCCCCGCCCTCCCGCCGGCCCCCCACCCGCGTGGCCCCGCCCACTCGCCCGGGCCCCGCCGGCTCCTCCCGCGATCCGGGCCGCGTGGGGCGGGGCCGCGGCGTCGCGGGCGGGGCCGGCTCACCCGGAATGAAAACAAACGGCGGCGGCGGCGGCGGGCGCCGCATCCGGGCATTCTGCGGGTCGCGGCCGGCGCGACGGTGGCGCAGGTGAGCCGGCGGCCGGGGGGCCGGGGCCGGACGCCCCTCGGGGCCGCGCCGCCGGGCACCCCCGGCCCCGGCGCGCCCGGCCCGGCCCCCGCGGAGGGGCGCGGCGGCGGGGCGGCGGCGGCGGCGGTTCCCGGGGCCGGGTGGGCGGCGCGGGGCGCTGCGGGGCGCTGCGGGGCGTGGACACAAAGGCCGGGGGGCCGTGCGTGGCCGCCCGAGGCCCGGGCCGGGGGCGGCGGGGAGGCGGCGGGGAGGCGGCTCTGCCCCGCTGACCCGCTGCCCCCCGGGGTGGAGCGTGAGACCCGCGCGGGCGCGCCCCGGGGCGTGGACCCCACGGTGGGCGTGGCGCGCACGGTGGTGGCCCGCACCGTGGTTCGGTTCGGGGACCCGTGCCCACTCGCCCCCGGGGTCGGGGCTGGGGCGCGAGTCGGGCCGGGGTCCTGCGCGGCACCGGTGCGCTTCCCCGCGCGGAGACGGGAGACGCCGGTGTCGGGGGCGCGGGGTTCCCGGCCCCCCGCGCCCGCGTCCCCCCTGTCCGCACAAACGGCCGCCTGGAACTGTGTGCCGAGCGGGGCCGCGTGGATCGCGTGGGGGCCTCGAGGCCGCCGCGCTCCTGGGCGCAGAGCGGAAAGAGGAAGCGCGGCGCTGCGGGCCGGTCGGGGCTTCCGCGCTGGGCTCCGGTTTCTGCCCTGGAGCGGTCTGGCCCCTCCCCGTGGTGGGGCGGTGCGTGGGGCCTCTCCGCGTCGGGTGCTCTTCGGTGGGGTCGTGTCCGCACTGAGCTCGGGATTCCCGCGCGCAGAGCCTGCGCTGCAGCCTCGGCCGGCGCCGTGAGTCGCTGCCCACCGCCCTCGCCGTGGGCCCCCTGCCGCCACCTGGCACTTGCTCGCCCTGTCGTGGTCTCACGACTCCCTGTGGAGTGGTCAGCCGGAGAGAACCGCTGGGTGCTGGCCCGTGGGACACCAGGACCGACGAACGACAAAACCCTGAGCCGCCGAGGACCCTGCCTGGTTTGTGACCTTGGCAGCGTCGTTTCCCAGGCCCAGGCTTGGGTCTTCCCTGCTGCCCAGGGCTGGACACTTTGTAGTTTTAAGAGCTTGGCCTCCAGAGAGCATTTATGAAGGTTCGTGCTCAAACTAGTATTTAAGTTTACCTAGTAAGGTCGTTGGTCGTGTCAAATGAACCAAAATATCAGAGGATTCTTACTTTTTTTGTTGTTGTTGAATGCCTTTTGGAAAAAAGTTCTGTACTTTCATCCTTCACTTGTTTTTAGGTTAGAGAATAACAGGCTAAAAAGGTATCATAACCTTTTCTAGATATTAGCAACTTTAAAACAGGATACAATTGCGCAATCCCTGTTTCTGTACCTAGTAGGTATATTTCAGGGGTGGTACAGCTGGTTAAACCTCACTGAAAAGTAACAGGAAAAACCCAGAAGGAGGGTTGACCAAGGGCTGCTTGTTCTGTAGACAAGGAACTATTATAAACCCCTTGCTGCAGGGAGGCGCTCAATGATGAACTGTTTTGCTTTCAAGGATGGCGCAAAAGAAATATCTTCAAGCAAAACTGACCCAGTTTTTAAGGGAAGACAGAATTCAGCTTTGGAAACCACCATATACAGATGAAAATAAAGAAGCTGGTTTGGTATTGAAGGTATTTTCCTTTTAAGACATGTTGTCTTCTTACGGCTTTTTTTTTGGTGGGGGGAAGGGGACTGTCCTCAGGGTTTATTCCAGGCTCTGTGCTCAGGGATCACGCTTGTCAGAACTTTGGGGGACCATATAGGGTGCCAGGGATTGAACCAGGGTCGGGCACTGCAAGGCAAGTGCTTTATCCACTGTATTATCCCTCCAGCCCATTTTAAGTCTTCTTGATAAATAAGACTCTGAAGTCACCAGAAAGTTTTAGACACAACCATGTAAATGTATTTGTTTTGGAGTCATACTTGGTGGTACTCAGGGCTCTGTGCTCAGGGTCTCTTCCTGCACTGCTCCAGGGACCATATGTGGTGCCGGGAATTGAAGCCAGCGCCCTGCCCCCTGCACTGTCTGGCCCAACCATGAAAACTTCTGACTTGACCACCGAGTATAGCCTCAGGGTAGCGCCTTAAACTGTTAACATTTGCTGTAACCAAAGTGTTAGTGTAAGTAAGTATCCTTCCTACTAGGAACTGACAAGCTGCTTTGCCTTGACTAAGTTTCAAAGAAGAATGTTAGTTAATTTCTCTATTTATAGTAGCCCTCATAGTTCCATAAAGTCATCAACCTGGGCAGGGCCAGAGATAGTGAAGGGCTTAAAGTGCTTGCTTGCTTTGCAGGAAGGGCCAACACCAGTTCGATTCCTGACCTCCCCCATACACACACAGTTACTAACCTGGGAACTCCTTTTAGCTGGTTCCCTTAGCGCTACCAGGGCCAGTCAGCCCGAGTGAGGTCCATGCTTGGAGAGCAGCCCACTGGGTTCTAGGTCCTTCCTGTCTCGTCCCGTGTCTGTTAGGAAAAGGGGACCCTCCCCTCCCAAAACTGTTCTTACTCTATGCCTGTCTACTCATTTCCCACAATATACGTGTGTGTGTGTGTCTGTACACATATGTTTGTTTGGGGGCGCACCTGGCTGTGCTCTCGGCTTTCTCCTGGCCCTGCATTCAGGGATCGCTCCTGGTGGGCTTGGGGACCGTATGTGGTGGTAGGGATTGAGCTCCACTTGGCTGCATGCAAGGCAAGTGCCCTCCCTGCTGTACCATCACTCTGACCCCCAATTTGTTTTTCTAACACTTGTCAAAGATGTTTTAATGTTTGATTGTTTGAGGGTGGGGTGCTCCCGGCAGTGCTCGAGTTCTGTGTAGTGGAGGGGTGGATCTCAAAGCCCTCCCGTGCGAGGCGTGGGCTCCAGCCCTCAGTGGGTCTGTGGCTCTTGTTGGCGATCGGATCTCAGAGTTCGAGGCCAGTGCTCTACCACTGAGGGCATCCCTAGCTCAAGCCCTGGTTTTTGACAGTATACACAGATAGCACGGTTTTATTATTTATTTGGGCTGGAGTGATAGCACAGCGGTAGGGCGTTTGCCTTGTATGCAGCCAGCCCGACTGAGCTGGGTTCGATTCCTCTGCCCCTTTCGGAGAGCCCGGCAAGCTACCGAGAGTATCTCACCCGCACGGCAGAGCCTGGCAAGCTACCCGTGACGTATTCAGTATGCCAAACACAGTAACAACAAATCTCAAAATGGAAACGTTATTGGGCTCGCTCGAACAAATCGATGAACAATGGGAGACCAGCTTATAGCTTACAGCTTACATTATTTATTTATTTTTGCTTTTGGGTCATACCCAGCGATGCTTAGGGGTCACTCCTGGCTCTGCGCTCAGGAATTACTCCTGGTGGTGCTTGGGGGACCATATGGGATGCCGGGGATTGAACCCAGGTCGGCCGCATGCAAGGCAGCCCTACCCACTGTGCTATCGCTCTGGACCCCCGGCAGAGTTTTATTAAGTGAAATTTCTAGAATCTAAAGTTTACCTGTTTTGCCAGCTAGAGACATTAATTATAAATTTAGTCACGTGAAATTACAGGGCTCTTTATGTTTGGGTTTCAAGCATATAATGTTTCAATACTGATCCCCCCCCACCACTGATGCCATGGCCTCCCCCCACCCCCACCCCCAGTCTGCCTCTAAGAGAGGTGCTTTTTTTTTTTTCAGTAAGTTTTTGCTCTATGGTTTATAGTACTGCTACTGATGAGAGACATTTTTTAATATAGATGTCTAGTTTTAGAATATTCTAGCATGAGCTTCTAATTCTCTTAGCCTGAATGCTCTATGATCAGTAACATGACATTCATCAGGGACTAAGAATTGCCTTGAGGGTTGTAAAAAATACACACACAGAAGGATGATGTGATGAGCGCATGTGTTCGCGGGCTCTCGAGGTCTCTCTCTCTCTCTCTCTCTCTCTCTCTCTCTCTCTCGTCCCCTGCGTTCGGTGCTCTCCAGCCGCTGTGTATGGACTGGATCGGGATGGCTGTTGGCTATGGGCAGGCGAAGGAAGAACGAGGACCAAGCTGGTTGCCGATTAGGTGCTGTTCATTTAGTCTCTCGTCTCCCATCTCACGCTCTCTTCCTTCCTTGCCCCTCACTCGTAGATCCCAGATCCCCGAATTCTGACTCCCCCCTTCCCACTCTTACAGTCTTAGTTTCTATAGCAGTCACGTGGGGTGGTGACACAAAGGTGGGGTTGAACATTAACAAATCAACAAAGAGACGTAAGGCCACTCCCCCAGGAGATAAACTCAAGGACAAAATCTCACCGAAGGAGATTACTCCAGATTACTAGGAGATCCGCTTAAGGGGGGGATCCCATCCCGGATGTGTCACTTTCTTCTTTCCTCAGCTAGTAATCCACTTAAATAGTTGTGGTAAGTTTACTTCTAGTATTTCTAGCAAATTCATTCTGTATGAGCACAGTAAGAGATATATCAAACTTAAAAGTTTGGTTCTTCCTGAGGACATCTCATTATATATTCCAGACCACAGTCCTCGGGCCAGATTAGACTTCCTAACCCCAGTAGGGTCCTAATCTTGTTGTTACTTTTGGATCACGACAGCATTTGTCCATGACCATGCTCTTGACTTATAGTTGAATATTGTGGTGCTTTGGCCTGGCCCATTTCAATGCCAGGGTAACTCACAGCTTGCTCACAGCTTGTCCATTCAGTCCCTTGTCGGGACCCTGCTTTTGGGGAACTAGGAACTAAGGGCAACTGAGTTGAGAAAGCAGATGCCTAGGAGTAAATATTATTTGAAGTTAATTAACTCCCAAGTTACAAAAGCATATTAACTGTCTTCCTGTGTCCATACAGAAAGGACATTGCTTTAAGGTAAACTATGCAAGAAACATAACTTACAATTCAAGTTCCGTGTTCTTAGAAGGACCTCATTTTATGAGCTAACAGAATCTGATTACGGAAAAAGATGATTAACTTCTTGGGGAGGAGAGCACAGAGAAGAGTTTACAGATAAACAAAGGAATGGGAGCACCATGATGGGTGTAACCCGGTAAACCTAAGTTCCCTGGACAAGGCTGAAAGGACCAGCCTAATGTTATCTTACAGAGGATCATGCTGTCTTAAAACAAGTGATATGCAGCTGGAGCGATAGTACAGCGGGTAGGGCATTTGCCTTGCACGCAGCAGACCCGGGTTCGATTCCCAGCATCCCATATGGTCCCCTGAGCACCTCCAGGAGTAATTCCTGAGTGCGTGAGCCAGGAGTAACCCCTGTGCATCGCCGGGTGTGACCCAAAAATAAAATAAAAAAAAAGAAAACGAAACAGTGATGTGCTCAGGGGTTGCCTGGGCTCTACACTAGGATTTACTCTTGGTGGAGCGGAGCTTTGGGGACCCGATGGGAAGCCGGGGATCGAACGCAGGCCGGCCATGTGCACAGCCCGCGGCTTTTGCGCTACGCTGTCTCTCTGACTTTGTTTTTCTCCCGTCTCTGTCCTTCTCCACTTGTTGAACCAGGTGTGGCTTAATAAGATCTGTTGGTCTCGCCTGGGGCAGAGTCCCTGGCACGGAGCTCCTGAGTCCTTTGGACTTTCCCCAGCAGCTCTGGCGGCGGGTTCAGGTTTGGGGGGTTCCCAAGATGAACCTTGGTTGGAAGCTCAGGTCAGGCCTTCCGGGGCTACTGGCAGCAGTGACTGACTTGCTCAGATTTTTGTAGTGGAACATCCATAAAAACCCATAGGTGATGAGTGTTGGGGGATTTTGAGACTTCAGCGGCTACGCTGCCGGCTGCTGGCAAGGCGGGGCATAGGAACTACACGGGGACACGTCTCTGCAGGGCCCAGGTGTGTGACAGGGCATGTGTCTGCACCTCCGTGTTGGTGTGTATTCTTGACAGCGGTCTTCAGTGGGTCCTGTGGAGGCTTCTGGCAAATCACTGAGATGCTGGCAGGACAGAGGGGCTGGACTGTGGCTGAATTGGACACTAGCGTGGGCTTCCTGGGACCAGATGCTTGGTGCTTGGGTGCTCGAAGTGAAGGCGGGGGCGAGGGGGCTGAGCCCCTGACCTGCGCCTGGTGTGGGGGTGCGCAAGGGAATGGGGGGGTTCGGGGACACTCAGTTGGTGTCGCACTTGGTGTCTGAGGAAAGAAATACTTCAGTGAGTATTCTGGAGATTTCCAGAAAGAACATTTTAGAGGATATATGTGTTTCAAGTATTTCAATAATGTTTTTCTTTCTGGAGATAAAAATAGATTCCTCTTGTAGGATAACATCCTCTGTTTTATTTTTTTTCCTTTTTCTAGTTTTGTTTTGGGGCCACACCCAGCAGTGCTCAGGACTTACCCCTGGCTCCACACTCAAGGGGTCACTCCTGGCGGAGCCTGAGGGACCACGTGGGATGCCGGGGATTAAACCTGGGTCGGCCACGTGCAAGGCAGGCACTATAGGTGCTGTTCGATGGCTCTGGTGCCCTCCTGAGTTTTCTTCTTTTTTTGGTTGGTTTCTTTGGCCACGCCTGGCTGTACCCAGGGTCTCCTGACCATATTCAGGGGTCACTCCTGCAGGGCTTGGGGGACATAGGGTATGCTGGGGGTTGAATCTGGGTCAGCTACGTGCAAGACAAGCACCTGCTATACTGTCGCTTTGAAAGTTCTGAATTACCAAAAAGACCTTCAGAAACTGGCTTTTATTTATGTTGGGCTCTGCCCACTGGGGCTTGGGGCTGCTGCCGGCTCCATGCTCGAAGGACCGTGTAGCTGAACCAGGGCCTTGTGCATGCAAAGCCGGGGCTCAGACCGTCGCGCAGTCTCCCTGGCTCAAGTTTGTGGCCTATTTTGTTTGGGGGCTGTTTTATTTATTTGGCAGTTCTCAAGCTATTCCTGCCTCTGTGCTTGTGAGTGAGCGCTGGTGGGAATCTGGGGACCATGAGGGACTGGGAGTGAACTAGAATCCTAGTCTTTTTTTTTTTTTGGGTCACACCCAGCAGTGCTCAGGGGTTACTCCTGGCTCTGCACTCAGTAATTACTCCTGGAGGTGCTTGGAGAACCATATGCGATGCCGGGAATTGGACCTGGGTCGGCCACATGCAAGGCAAATGCCCTCCCCGCTGTACTAACCTCCAGCCCCAGCATGCAAGTGTCTGAACCTCTGTGCTAACTCTCCAGACTCTGAATATTGTTTTTTTGAAGCATCAAATGTACTGGAACATCCTGCTAGTTGTTCCCCATATGATTATGTAGAAAACTACGTAATTCTGGGGGTGGGGCGGGAGAGGGGGCACACAGGTAAGGTGATTGCCTTGCATGTGGCCAATCCCAGATTCAACCCCTAGCAGCACGCATGGTCCCCCAGCACTGCCAAGAGTGAGTCCTCAATACGGAGCCAGGATAAGCCCCGAGCCAACAGTCCTTCCCACCCAAGCCCCCACCCTCGCCAGGTTTCATTTAGTTTGATGTTCTCTGGGAAGGTCGCTCAGGGGTAGCGGGTGTGTCCTGGCGCCCCTGCCAGCACCAGCTCAGCTGGACTCTTGCACTCGGCCTTTGTCCTGCTCGTCCCTGGGAGGGGCCGGGAGCACTGTTGGAGATCACCCCTATAAAAGAATGTAAAAAGCGGGTCAAACATTCTGCTTTCGTTGTAGTTTTATGTCTGTCAGAATCTCTCTGTCAAATACATATTGACATGTCTTTTTTTTTTTTAACTGAATCACCGTGAGATACAGTTACAGAGCTTTCATGTTTGAGATTCAGGCATGCAGTGATCGAACACCCATCCCTCCACCAGGGCACATTCTCCACCACCAGGGTCCCCAGTCTTCCCCACTGCCCTGCCTCCATGGCAGACGGTTTCCTCAGTAATCCCCCTCTGCTTTGGGGCATTATGTTTTGCTCGAATTTTCCCACCACCATTCAAAGCCCGCCTGCCTGGGGCAGACGCTAGGTAATTTATATTCCATTGCTCATTTTTCTTTTGGGGGGTCACACCTGGCGATGCTCAGGGGTCACTCCTGGCTCATGCACTCAGGAATTGCTCCTGCCGGTGCTCGGGGGACCATACGGGATGCTGGGAATCGAACCCGGGTCGGCCATGTTGGCTGCGTGCAAGGCAAACGCCCTCCCCGCTGTGCTATCGCTCCAGCCCCTCCATTGCTCATTTTGAATATCATGAGAGATTGTGCGAAAGCCGCCGTGCGCTTCTGGAATTCTAGATTGTAAATGGTTGGGTTCCAGAGACGTCTCTATAGGGCACTGATTCATTTTGGGATTCAGTTGGGAGTTTCTCAACCAGGGCCGTTGGTGTGCTAAGATGGCACCCGGGGACCCAGGGAGGGACAGCCCAGCGCCTCTGCCTCCATGGGGCCTGGGGATTTAGTCCTGGCACCTGCATACCTGGGCCTTGCTTGTGGAAGCTCTTAGTCGCGGGGATTCCATCTGGAGTAGGCGGGGAGACTGCACCTGCTCCATCTGGGGTGTGGGGTGAAACTGGCTCCGTATGGGGCCCAGAGAGATCTCCAGCGCTGCGGTGTCTTCCGGGACTGGGGTGGGAGGTGCGCTTGACACATTGTTTTCAAGCACCTCGTAGAGCTACAAAGTCGCACACATAATGAGATCTGGTATTTCAGCTGTTTAGGGAGATGTAAAACCCCTTCATGCAAATACCGTTTCAGGAGGGGATGTGGTGGTCTCGCTTGACATAGTAACTGGGTCACTTCCGTTTTTTGTTGTTCGTGTGGTTGGCTGGGTTTGGGGCCTCACCCAGCAGTGCTCAGGTTTACTTCTGGCTCTGTGTTCAAGAATCATTTCTGGCAGGGCTTGCGGGACCTTACGGGATTCCAAGGATTGAACTCCGGCCGGCCACGTGCTGGGCTGTTCCTCAGTCCCTGGTTTCCTTTTTTGAAGCCTTCTTCTAAGTCTTCTAAGTCTTTTCTTTTCTTTCCTTTTCTTCTCTTGCTTTGAGGGAATTCCCCTTTGAATCACTTGCAGCTTTCGTTCCTAGAAGGGGGGTGGAGAGGGTTGGGGCCACACCCAGGGGCGCTCAGGAGTGATCCCGGCATATAGTTCTGGGATTCAGACCAGGGTTGGTCATGCGTAAGGCAAGCCTGCCTCAACTTCTCGTCACCCTAACCTCCTAACTCCCTTTTTTTCTCCCTCCCCCCCCCACCCGCTTTTTGAGTCACGCCCAGCAGTGCTCAGGGGTTACTCCTGGCTCTGCACTCAGGAATTACTCATGACAGTACCATATGGGATTGAAGCGGTTGGCCACATGCAAGGAAAACGCCCTCCCCACTGTACTGTCGCTCTGGCCCCTGCTCACTCCCTCCCTTTTCTCCTCCTCTTCCTCTCCCTTTGAGTCGCACCTGGCAGCGTGGGGGCCTGTGCAGGGCTGACTCCAGAGGCCTTTGTGCACGAGTCCTTTGAGCGTGTCCCCTTCCCAGTTCTGAAACTCTCCCTGGAAACCCTTTTTACACGAAGTGCCCATAATGTGAATTGTCTAACGACTTGCTGTGACCGTTAGACTGTTTTCTGCATGTTGCCGCGTGTTTCACAGAGTCACTGGACCCCCGCCCACGGCTTGTCTGGTCAGTCAGGACGGCGCTGCCCCGAGCGGGGACCCTAGGGCCCCTGCCTGCTTCGCCGCTTTGTCTTGTTTGCATTGATCCAGAGTTTCTGATTTTTCCTTATAGGACCTTGCTAGAAAGTATGCTGACAAACTCGAATGCTGCGAGAGTGAGGTGGAAAAGATAATAGAAGAAATACGTTGTAAAGCAGTTGAGCGTGGCACGGGAAATGAAAACTATAAAACGACAGGAATTGCTACAATTGAGGTATTTTTACCTTCGAGGCTAAGAAAAGTGAGTAACTTTCCCAAATTTACTTAATCGCTATTGTCTGAGTAGCTTAGTGGAGTCACCAGATTGGTTTCAAAAGTGTAACTTAAAGTTAAAATTCTTCATTTCTCTTTACATATTGAATTTTTATCTGTTTAAAAGTGAATTTTTTGGATTCTTAGCCTGGAATGCTGAGGAGGTAGTTCTGGTACACCAGAATGTCACAAAGCTGTGTGTTGTATTCTTATTTGTTGAGAGTCCTTTTTTGGGGGGTCATACCCGGCGATGCTTAGAGGTTCCTCCTGGCTCTGCACTCAGGAATTACCCCCAGTGGTGCTTGGGGGACCCTCTGGGATGCTGGGAATTGAACCTGGGTCGGCCGTGTGCAAGGCAAATGCCCTACCCGCTGTGCTATTGCTCCAGCCCCCTGTTGAAAGTCTTGGCTTTTTGTTTTGTTTAATTTTTTGCTTTTGAGTCACAACCCATGATTGCGAGAGGGACAGTCGGGGAGGACAGTGGGCGGGAGCAGGGGACGAGGTGTGAGAAGCCTCAGAACCAACCAACAGGTGACGGAAGAGCTTTGGGATGAACTCCAGAGAACAACTAAGAATCACTGGGGGCCCTGAGGACCAGGAGGACAACCCTGACGTTGAACAAGCAAGAGGCCCCCAGAGCCGCTGATGCAGGAGGCCAGAGGGCACCAGGGGCTTCCCCTGGCTCCTCTGGGCTCAGGGGTCACTCCTGATCGTGCCCAGGGCCCCGTGGGTGTGGGCATCAGCCAGGTCAGCTGCATTGAGGCAAATGCCTTAACCACATGCTACTTCCGGCCCCGACCAGAATATGTTTTTGCTTATTTTCTTATTTTTTAAGGGTTTGGATATACAGCCAGTGATGCTCAGGGGCTAGTTCTGACCCTGTTGCTCCCACGGTGCTCAGGGAGCCCTGCAGGGCTGGGACTCGGGCCTGCTGCCTGTAGCCCGGCCATGCCCCTGCAATGTGGTGTCTGGCAGGCTCCACTTACTGGCCAAGGTCACCTCTGTTGAGCGCAGAGATGCTTGGCAGGCTTCCACAGTGGGCTTTGTGATGGACACGGTGTATCTCAGACCTGCTAAAGTTCTTGAGGGAAATGGACAAGATAAAGGCGGTCCGTGTGGGGGCCGAGTTGATAGTATAGTGGGGAGGGTGTTTACCTTGCACGCAGCCGACCCAGGTTAGATCCCTGGCATCCCATAGGGTCCCCTGAGCACCACCAAGGGTGATTCCTGAGTGCAGAGCCAGGAGGAACCCCTGACCCAAAAGGGGGGAAAAAAACTGTCCATGTGTCTTGGGAAGCCAGCTGGAGACTATCAGGGGCTCTGGCCATCTGTGGACCTCCTTTGTGCTAGTACCTGGGCAGTTGGGCACCAGGCTGGACGCTCCGGCAAGGTTAGCATCCAAGTGGAGCCCCACCAGGTCCCAGCTGTCCCCAGGGACTTGGGACTTCCTCTAGCTCCACTCTGCGCAGCAGGACAAGCGTCCAGCGTCTGCCCCATGCTTCCTGCCCTTCGCGTGGGCACAGTGACCAGCATGCCTGTTGCTGAGCCTGTTGCTGTGAGATCCTGGCATCACGGCCAGCCCCTCCCCTCCAGGCTTGTTTCCGTCTCGTCAGCTGATGCCTTGTGGAATTTTTTTACACGGTCACAGCCCAGAAGGTCCCGATGGAAGTCCTTTTGTCTCTGTCTTATTTTATGTAGGATAGGAAGAACTTGTTGGAGACGCGGTTGCATGTCACTGGCAGGGAACTGAGGTCAAAGTAAGTATGAAGGGGGCGCTGGGCCCTCACGCCACAGCCTGGGTCTCCGCCTGCCCTGGACGAAGGCCGGTGGCCGAGAGCTCTCAGCGGGCGATGCACGTGCCTCATGCAGGACGCCCTGCTTTGGTTTCTGCGTCACCCCCGAGCACTGCTCAGAGCCCCCCCAAGCCCAGAGCCAGGCATGGCGCCCGCAGGTGGCTCCGGACCGCCCCACGGGAAGGACAGATTGGCGGGCGGGTGTCAGAGGCTCTGCCCGGCAGGACCTGCTGACTCCCAGCTTCTCCCTTCCTGGCCTGCCACGGCCGCCCCCGTGGGCCTGTTCGCGGGACACGCAGAGGAACTGGCCTGCCGCTCCCTGGGCCACTCGCGCGGGGCGTAGTCCTCGTGCCTGAGAGTTGGCTCGACTCCCGGCCAGGCGCGTCCAGCCCGTTTCAAGCTGTCGGTCCATCTGTGAGGAGGGAAGGGGACCCACCTGTCACGGACCGTGGCGCTCTGGCTTCGGGAGCGGGGGGGTACCCGGGGGTGCTGGGGCTTCTCCGCCCACCCTTGCTTGTACGTTGGTGTCTCTCCCTGGTGTGGTGCCGAGACCAGGGTCATGCACTGGGACTCTCTCCCGTGTTTCATTCTCACTGTTTCTGGGGGGCTCACCCACTCCTCCTAGGGGAGGAGTCGCTTCCAGAGGTGCTTATAAACCCTGCGGGGCAGGGCTGCTGTGTCGTTGTGGTTTTCAGTTGTGATTTTTATTTTTGGGCGACACCTTTGGTGTGCAGACGCTCAGTGCTCAGGCAGACGCTCCCGGCAGTGCCAGGGGTCCCTGAGGGCTGGGAATGGAGCCTGGTGCACCCCCCCTTCCGTGCAGAACCTGTCATCTGCCATTGGAGCTGTCGTGCCAGCCCGCGCGTAGATACATCCATGTACGCACATGTGTGTGTGTGTGTGTGTGTGCGTGTGTGTGTATGAATGTATGAATGAATGCGTGTGTGTAGATATGTCTGTGCATGCACGCATGTGTCTGTAGAGCGTGTTTTCTCTTGGATGCTGCTCCTGGGGCAGGGCCTCACACGGACAGTCCGCGGCGGGTGCCCAGCAGCTGAGCTGCGGCCTGGCCCGCGGGCGTGTCTGGGTGTGGGGGCAGCTGCTCTGGGAGGCCAGGAGCTTGTGCCCATTGCTTCCTTGGCATCTGTTAGGCTCTGGGCTGGAGTCAGCAGGTGTCATTCACTTGGTAGGTAGTGGGCGGTGGGGACAGCCCTTTCGGGGTGGAGAGGAGGGTCTCGCCAGCTCTGCTGTGGGCGTGCTCTCTGGCCCCGAGGAGCAGCACGAAGTGTGGCTGGGGCCTTGTCTCTGTGTCCACAGCTGCCCAGGGAACTGGCTTGATGGACCACGCAGGGCTCTGGGAGCTGTAGGTGTTGGGGGTCACCTCCACCTCACAGGGGGACTCTTCTTGGTGGTCAGTGACGTCACCTCCAGTTCCTACTCGTCTCTTTTACAGGATCGCCGAGAAATTTGGATTTCAAGAAAATTATATCAAAATCGTCATAAATAAGAAACAGCTGCAGCTCGGTAAGTCACGGCGGAGCGCCTGAGCGTTCCAAGGTGATTCGGGAACCGTGACTTGGTTTCCTCACTCTTCCCTCTGTTCCAAGATTGGCTTTCTTACATATATAATTCAGAGTAGAGCCAAAACACCGCCCCCCCCAGGCAGATGTGCAACCAGTGCTGGCTGCCTGCTCGGTGCCAGGGGGGAGAAGGACCCTCAGGGTCAAGAGTGTCAGAACACAGCTGAGGGGCGCTGAGAGAGGGTGGGCTCCAGAAGTCTTTCTGGGGGAGGAGAGAGAGCCAGAGTGAGCGCCCGAGGGAGCCCTTGCGGGTGTTTGCTGGCGGCCATCCCTGCTGAGAGCCGAGAGCTGCGGCGGGCAGGGAGCAGGCAGGGCCCCTGGTGAGGGCCAGAGCGGCGCTGCTCAGTAGGTCCGGCCCCCCGCGAGCGAGCAGGCTGCCCGGCCCGAGCTGGTGCCCCCATGCCTGAGCTCCGTCAAGCTGGAGCGTTTTTCCTGAAGGAAGTGGGGAGTGACTCAGGAGCATGTTCATGGTTTTTTTTTTTTTTCTTTTTTGGGGTCACACCCGGCAATGCTCAGGGGTTACTCCTGGTTCTGCACTCAGGAATCACTCCTGGCAGTGCTCAGGGGACCATCTGGGATGCTGGGAATCGAACCTGGGTTGGCCGCGCACCAGGCAAACACCCTCCCCGCTGTGCTATTGCTCCAGCCCCTATGTTCGTGTTTTAAAGGTCATTCTGGCCGTGGTGGGGGACGGGTGAAGGCATAGGGTCCGTGCGGATGGTCACTGCCCCTGTCCTCTTTGCTGTGGTTCTGGGTGGGCGCCGCCCTGGCAGGAGCCTTGGTGACTTCAAGCCCGGCAGCTTATCACGTTACTGATGGTTGTGACCAGCCCCAGGGACACCGGCCCCGTCTTCTCCATCCTCTTAGCTTAGTCTGTGCGCAGAGGCTGGCTGGAAAGGCGGGGCTGCAGCCCGGATGCCCCCATGTCCCCCGCTGACCCCTGCGCTCTCGTGGGGCCTCTGGTTTTGGAGGTTCCTGTCTGTGCCGGCTGCATCTCCCCTTCAGTGTGGCTCGTTCCCCAGTCAGAGCTCAGCCGGGTTTTGGTGAGACCCAGCCGTGCTCAGGGCTCTCTCCGGGCGGGGCTCGGGGATCATATGTAATGCTGGGGATCGAACCCGGGTGGGCCGCAAACAAGGCAAGCGCCCTCCCTGCTGTGCTGTCACGCTGGCCCTGATAGTTTATATTACTGTCGACTGTTGTATTTTTATTTTTTTAATGTTTTTTTGGGGGGGGGTCACACCCAGCGATACCCAGGGGTCACTCCTGGCTCTGCACTCAGAATTTTCTCCTGGCGGTGCTCGGGGGATTATATAGGATGCTGGGAATCAAAACCACCTCGGCCGCGTCAAATGCCCTACTCGCTGTGCTATCGCTCCAGCCCTGTCGCATTTTATTTATTTATTTTTGGGGTCACACCTGCGATGCTCAGGGGTTCCTCCTGGCTCTGTACTCAAGAATTACTCCTGGCGGTGCTCAGGGGACCCTGTGGGGTGCTGGGAATTGAACCCGGGTCGGCACGAGCGAGGCAAACGCCCTTCCTGCTATGCTATTGCTCCAGACCCCCCTGTTGTATTATTATTATTATTATTATTATTTTTGCTTTTTTGGGTCACGCCTGGCGATGCACAGGGGTTACTCCTGGCTCTGCACTCAGGAATTACTACTCCTGGCGGTGCTCAGGGGACCATATGGGATGCTCCGAATTGAACCCGGGTTGGGTGCGTGCAAGGCAAATGCCCTACCCGCTCCAGCCCCCCCCCCCCGTTGTATTTTTGAAATCCAGCGATCACTCTGTTTCTTACGGTGAGCGCATCCTGGCTTTTCTTCATCAAGACCTTTGATGGGCCTTGCTTTTTCTCCTTAGATCTTAGTTTTCTGTAGAAATGTTAATGTGATTGTCAACTTTAAAACGAAAAATAGGAGAACAGGCTTTCCACAAATGTGCTGGGCCACATTTTATCAGTTTGCAGCTCATAGTATTAGTTAGAAACCTATCTTCAGCCTGGGGGTGGGGCTTGAGTGGCCACTGGCCTGGAACGTGCTGGAAGCCCCAAGGCTAGTTCTGATGCCCTGTGGCCAGCACGGTTGAGTATGGCCCAGGTGGCTCTCAGATTCCTCCACTGCCAGGGTGGCCCTTGTTTCGTAAAAAATCAGTTTACAGGGGCCAAAGCAGAAGTACACTGGGGAGGGCTCTTGCCTTGCACATGGCTGATGGGGGTTCAAACCCTGGCACCCCATATGGTCCTCCGTGGCTCCCCAGGAGTGCAGAGCCAGAAGTAACCCCTGAGCACCACCAGGTGTGGTCCCCAGGCAAAACAAACAAAATAAAACAGATGAAAAGGTGGGCCCTGAACTGGAGCTGGAGCACAGTGGGGAGGGCGTTTGCCTCGCAGGCACCGACCCGGGTTCGATTCCCAGCATCCCAGATGGTCCCCTGAGCACCGCCAGGAGTGATTCCTGAGTGCATGAGCCAGCAGTAAGCCCTGTGCGTCGCTGGGTGTGACCCCAAAAGGGAAAAAAACAAAAAAGAAAAGGCGAACTCGACCTTAGTTTCCTGTAACTGGCTGCAGAGCGGAGAGAAGGCGCGTCCCGGAGTAGTCGGGGTCAGGGGGGTGGCCGGCGACCACCCGGTGCGGGTGCGGTGGGTGACGCGCGCGCCTTGCAGACGAGACGCTGGAGGGCCAGGGCGTGGCGCACAACGTGAAGGCCATGGTGCTGGAGCTGGAGCACTCGGAGGAGGACGCGCGCAGGCAACTGCAGCCCGAGGAGGAGGAGCAGAGCGAGGCGGAGCTCAAGGAGAGGCGGATCCAGAGGACCAAGAGGGGCCTGGAGATCCTGGCCGAGAGAGGTGCGCGCCCCGCAACCCTCCCCCCACAGCTGAGAGAGGTGCGAGCCCCGCGCCCCCGCCCCCCCCAGTCGAGAGAGGTGTGCGCCCTGAAGCCCTCCACCCCGCCCCCCGCCCCCGCGCCCCGCAGCCCTCTCCCAGAGGTGCGCGCCCCCGACCCCCCAGAGAGGTGTCCCCCCCCCATCCTCCTGCGGCTCGGACCTCCACCCCAAGCCGAGAGAGATGCGCGCCCCGCAACCCTCTCCCGCCCCTCCCCCCAGAGGTGCCGCCCCCACTGAGAGAGTTGCACACAACCCCCCTTCCTTCCCCCCCCCCAGTTGCTCACCACTGCGCCCACCCAAGCTGAGAGAGGTGTGCAACCCGCCCACCACCCCCCCAGAGAGGTGCCCACCCCCGCGTGACCCCCCCTTCCCCCGCGGGTCCGTTCTGCCCCTTCCTACCCCCCTCCACCCGTGCCCCTCCATCCGACGCGCTTCCCTTCCAGCCGAGATGGTGGTGGACCCCGAGACCACTCCGTACTTGGACATCGCCAACCAGACGGGCAGGTCCATCCGAATCCCGCCGTCGGAAAGGAAAGTGAGTGCCCGGTCTGCGCCCGAAGGCTCGCTCCGTGCCCTCCCCTGCCTGCCAGCAGCCGTGACCTCGGTTTCCCGCGTCTCCCTGCCCTCAGCTGGCCCCGTCCTGAGCTGGGCCACCCCTGCCTGCAGCCTTCCCGGGCCCCTGCGAGGGCTGGGTCCACTCCTGGGGGCTGCTGCATGGGGGAGCCTCCGGGAGCAGGTCCCCCTCTGTTCCGACCCCCACCACCCGAAGGCAGCTGCTCTGGGCAGGATTCTATGCCATAGACCCCAGAGCCACTCCTGAGCGGGCTCAGTCACTCCTGATAACGAGACCTCTAGGGACGGAGCAAGTTCATTTTAATTCACTGTTCTGTCTTTGTGAGGGATCCACTCAAAAATGAAGGATTGAAGTTGGGTTTTGTTTATTCATTTTTCACAGAAGTAATATTTTCTTATCAGAACCCTAATTTCTGTGCAAGCGTGTATAAGTGAGTGTAAATGCATTGATGGCTTACGAAACATTTGTACTAGAGCTGTCAGTGGATCGACCTTCCAAAATGATTGATTAATTGCTCATCAATCACATATTAAGTGATCACGTCACGTCCATTTTTAAGAAACACCTTCACCAGATTAGATTCTGTAAAGCTCATTTAAAAATACTCAGAGGGGGGCTGGAGCGATAGCACAGCGGGTAGGGCGTCTGCCTTGCACGCGGCCAACCCAGGTTCGATTCCCAGCATCCCATATGGTCCCCTGAGCACTGCCAGGGCTGATTCCTGAGTGCAGAGCCAGGAGTAACCCCTGTGCATCGCCGGGTGTGACCCAAAAAGCGAAAAAAAAATACTCAGAGGGGGGCTGGAGCAATAGCACAGCGGGTAGGGCATTTGCCTTGCATGCGGCCAACCTGGGTTCAATTCCCAGTATCCCACATGGTCCCCCGAGCACTGCCAGGAGTAATTCCTGAGTGCATGAGCCAGGAGTAACCCCTGTGCATCGCCGGGTGTGACCCAAAAAGCGAAAAAAAAATACTCAGAGTGGGGCTGGAGCAATAGCACAGCGGGTAGGGCATTTGCCTTGCATGCGGCCAACCTGGGTTCAATTCCCAGTATCCCACATGGTCCCCCGAGCACTGCCAGGAGTAATTCCTGAGTGCATGAGCCAGGAGTAACCCCTGTGCATCGCCAGGTGTGACCCAAAAAGCAAAAAAAAAAAAAGTACTCAGAGGGCTGGGACCTGGACATTGCGGCAGTGGCCCATGCTCAAACCCCAGCACTGCCAGGTGTAGCTTCAAACGGAGCCTGACCTGGGCCGGAAGCTCACCCAGGCTGCGGGCCACTCTGCATGCTGAGGCCGTGCCCCGCAGGGAGGAAGCCCTCGCACACAGCAGGGGGTGCCCCCAAGCAAAAATAGTCACAACTTTGGATCACCCTTTAAAAATTGTTTTGGAAATTCCAGAGTTGACAAATGCTTCTAACAAAACTTGATTGAAACTGGAAAGTGGGGCCAGAGCAGTAGCACAGCGGGGAGGGCGTTGGCCTTGCACCCGGCTGACCCGGCCTCCATCTCTGGCTCCCTGAGCCCTGCCAGGAGTGATCCCTGAGCATCACGGGGTGTGACCCCAAAACCAAAACACTGGAAAGTGAAGTGAGTGGGGTGTGTGTGTGTGTGTGTGTGTGTGTGAGGGGGCTGGACCCTCGGCCCCCACCCAGCGGCCTAGGCCTGTTCCTCCTTGTCTCTGCTCAGGGATCAGTGGGACGACCGCGTGCAAGGAGGCTCCGGAGCCCGGGCCGTCTCTCTGGACGCTGTTGTTTAGTCTTAAGAATTCCAGTACTGTGTTTGGATCAAAACATACGAACAAAGGGCACAACGCTTGTTGTGAGCCGTCAGGCTCATTAGTGGGGTGTTGGGGTTTTGGTGTGTAATGAGTCTCTTAGTGATGTGTTCCTTAATTTGTTTTTTGTTTTTTGTTTTGTTTTTTGCTTTTTGGGTCACACCCGGTGATGCACAGGGGTTACTCCTGGCTCTGCACTCAGGAGTTACTCCTGGCAGTGTTCGAGGGACCACATGGGATGCTGGGAATTCAACCCAGGTTGGCCACGTGCAAGGCAAACGCCCTCCCCGCTGTGCTATCACTCCAGCCTGTTTTCATTAATTTTCACCTACAGAGTTTAGTCATGATTGTGCTTAGTTTTTTTTTTTTTATTTCTTAATTTGGTTTCTTTACATTGATTATGCTTGTAATTTGATTCGAGACTTGAAAGTGATGTCTTCCTGGCTCCGTGTCTCCCCAGGCCCTGATGTTAGCTATGGGATACCACGAGAAGGGCAGAGCCTTCCTGAAAAGAAAGGAGTACGGGATAGCCCTGCCGTGCCTGCTGGACGCTGACCGATACTTCTGGTAGGCACGTTTGTACTTGTGAAGGTTCCCGCTGCCCCCTGCACCTCCTACCCCCACCTCATTCTTCGGTTTCCCCAGGTTGGGTGGGGTAGGCTGACCGAGGCCTGTTTCTTTCCTTTGAATCACTCTGGTCCCTGTAAGGAGTCAGAAACATGGGTGTCAGGGAACTGTCTGGCTTTTGTGACGGGTGACACCTCTGCAGACACGTCCTTGTCCTAGATGGGGTTTTGTTCCTGATTTGTTTTGTTTTGGGGGCCACACCTGGTGGTGCTCAGGCTGATCCCTGGCTCTGCACTCAGGAGTCACTCCTGGTGGGCTCGGGACCCATGTGGGGTGCTGGGGATGGACCTTGGCTCTGCCTTGTGCAAGGCAAACCCTTACCTACTGGATTATCTCTTTACCCCCAAGCACCGGATGGTTTTTACTCTGATGTGAATATTCAGTTCTCCAAATCCAGTTTTTGTTTTTGGGCCATGCCTGGTGGTGCCCCAGGCTCTGGGGACATACGGGGTGCTGAGGGCCAGACCTGGGCTGGCTGCATGCAAGGCGAACACCCTCCCTGCTTCTGTCTCTCCACCTCTCCAAATCCACTTTTTGTAAGTAGTTATGCCTCAGTATTCCTTCTGTTTCTTTTTAATTTTGGGCCATACCTGGCAGTGCTCAGTGCTCAGCACTTGATCCTGACTCTGCTCTCAAGAATTACTCCTGGTAATTCCTGGTAATACTCCTGGGTCATATGAGGTGTTGGGGATCAAATTCAGGTTGTGTGCGTGCAAGGAAACTCCCTTCCCACTGTCCTGTTATTTGGGCCCAGTACAATGAATTTCTACACACTTGAAATTCAACTTTAGCCCTTAGCCCTTAGCAAGATTGTTGAACTTACTTCATTGCTATGAATATTTCTTGATATTTTTAGCCTGGACAAATGCCTTTTTAAAAATTCTTAATTTCTTAATTTTATTTTCATAAAGTTGTTCACAGTAATTGTTTATATTCAACATTCCAACACCAATCCCACCACCTTTTTTTTTTTTTTTTTTTTGCTTTTTGGGCCACCCCTGGCTTATGCACTCAGGAATCACTCCTGGCAGTGCTCGGGGGACTATATGGGATGCTGGGAATCGAACCCAGGTCGACTGTGTGCAAGGCAAACGCCCTACCTGCTGTGCTATCACTCCAGCCCCCCACCACCATTATTTTGAATTTTCCCACCACCAACCAAGCCTGCCCCATAGGCAGATGCTAGATAATTTATTTTGTATTGCTTGTTATGAATAATAAAAGATGTGGTACGGACGAAAAGTGGCCGCGCACTCCTGGAATTCTGAAATTTTTTAAATATTTGGTGTCCAGAGGCATCTCTGTGGCACACTGCTTTCTCGAGATTCATTTGTGAGTCTCTGAATCATGGCGTTATTGCGCTTAAGTGGTGCCCAGCGGCAGTTCTTGGGCCTGACTCCCAAACCAGGAGGTGGGGGAGGTCGCCCATCCCCGACTCCGTGAAGCCTGGAGTTTTCAGTAGCCTGGACAAATTCTTGAAATAATTGTAGACCTCAGGGTGCCACGGAGTAAAAATAACTGCCCTTCAGTTTAGGGTGCGCGAGCTTGCTCGGAAAGTCTCACAGATGTTGACCCATGTCACGACGGCATCCTGGGAAACAGAGGGTGATGGATTCAGTTTATCTTCTGTTGAGCCTTGTGGATCGCAGCACTTAGAGTCCCTCCCCGAAGCGTCCAGCCTGTGCCTGTTCCCTCCCGCCCCCACCCCGGCCTGACACCTGGGCAGGCAGCTTTCCCTCCACCATTGTCTTGCTGAGAAGATTTGTGCCGTTTTCGGAGGGTTTGCTTCTCAGCTCAGCTCGCTGGATGCTTGCTCGGCTCAGGGAGAGACTCACAGCTGGACCCAGAGGGACGCCCCTGGCGGCGTTTCTGTCCCAGACTTTCCCTCCCTCCCCATGCAGGCCACCTCCAGCTTCCTGCGGGCAGGGCCAGGGGGCCAGCATGACTTGTCTCTTCAGATTCAGAACTCCAGAGTGGGAGCATGGGCAGGGAGAGAGCAGGGACCCCCAGGGCACGGAGCGAGCGGCAGCGCTGTGGGTGAGGCCCCCGGATCGGCAGGAGCGCCGGTGTCCCCCGGCTCGGGAGGCGGCCCAGAGGGCTGGAGCAGTTCCCCCCAGCTTGCTCTGGGGCCCGGTCTTCTCCTCTCGCGACTCGACTAGGCTTGGCCGCATGTGTCTCAGCATCACCGCGTGTCATCCTTGGTCTCATCTGTCTCGCTGCTCTCCCAGGCCGCTGGGCTGATGCATTTCTGCTTCTGTTCAGGCTGGTGCCAGTGTTGCCGTGTACCAAGTGCCATCCCTGGCCCGCAGCCGCTGGCCCTGCGGGGTGTGGCCTCTCTTTCATTCCACAGGGGCTTGTTGCCCCTCCCCGCTCCTACTGGCCCCTGGGGCCCCGAGCTGCAGCCGGGGTGGGCAGCTCTGCTCTGCCAGAGGCCCGCCAGCGTCTGTGTCTGTCTGTGGCTGCTACGGGCTCCCCCTGGCTGTGTCTGACCAACCGGAGGCGTTTCCACCCCTTCCCTGGCTGTGTGGGACGCCAGCGAGTCTCTGTAGCTGCTTTCTCCAGAGCCCGGGGCCAGGCCACTGCCCCTTCTCAGCCAGCCTCAGGCCCCAGAGGCTGGAGGTCATGGAGGAGGGAGAAAGGAGGAGGAAGGAGTTGCGTGTGTGCTCGTGGCTCAGGGCTGGAGAGACGCCGTGAGTGCAACGGTGGGAAGAAGCGACATGTGACCATAGGGCCAGAGCGAAAGGGGGGCACCTGGCTTCAGTGCCCAGTACCCCAGGTGTCCTCCAGTCCCCACCAGGAGAGACCCCTGAGCACTGCCGGGTGTGGCCCCCCCAAAAAAAGCAAACAAGCGAGTGAATCTGAAACTCGGCAGGCTCTGCTGGGCCCCGTGGGCATCTGCATGTGCCCTGGGTTCAGGCACCCCCAGCCACTGCCTGAAGGCCTTCACGACAAAGCCCACTTCCTTTGGGGCCCTTTGTTGGGACGGGCACCATGCCCGGTGGTGTAGGGACGACCGCATCCCGCCTGTGTGCAGATGTGAGCTCGGCTCTCTGTGCTCTCCCGGGCCCTCCTGTGTGGGCTCGGCTTTCTGTGCCGTCCTGGGCCTGCTGGCTCGTTTGTTCTGTTTTTTTGGGGGTCACACCCGGCGGGGCTCAGGGATCATTCCTGGCCGGGCGCAGGGGACCCTGTGGGGGTTCATGGGATCAAACTCCGATTGGTGCCAGGCCACACCCTCCCCGCTGTCCTGTGGCTCCTCCCGACTCAGCCCCTTGGGGGTCTTCTTTTCCCAGCAGATTCTGAGGGCCAGCGGGGGAGCGGGGCTCAGACTGTTCCCACAAGAACAGCCTCCCCTTCGGGCGGACCCGGGGGAGGACAGACCCACTGGGATTTGTCGGTGCTTGAGGCTGCTTCAGACCTTGCTGTGGGGCCCCGAGACCTGGGTTTGGATCCACTTGAACCGGAGCCACCGCTGTGTAGACAGAAACAAGCGGCCTCCTGTGCCTCTGACCGCCCTGCTCCCGGGGCCACTTTCTGGATTGTTCTTCCCAGCTCTGATGTGATGGGCACGAGTGGCAGGTCAGAGTTCTGTTCGTGCTGGGGTCTCTCGCGCTGGCAGCTCCAGGGAGAGCTGAGGAGAGACGGTCGGGACCTCCGGGCTGTTACCACGGACCCAGGCAGGGGGCTCCACGCCCCCGTCCTTGGAGAGAAGACGGGTGTTTCCTCAGAGATGAAACTGGCAGCCGGGGCAGGAGCTGCTTCCACGTGGGTGGGAGTGAGGACAACACGGGGCCCCAAAGTCCACTGGGTTTATTTTCCCCCCTGGAGGTGAGCGTGTCTCGCCCCAAGCCCTGGGTCTCGGGGCGGGGAGACACCACCAACGCCCCAGAAGAACCAAGTGGCTCATGGAACGGGGGTTTCTGGCACGGCGGTGATGTCACTTCCTGTCTCTCTCCCAGTGAGTGTTGCAGGGAACTCCTGGACACGGTAGATAACTATGCGGTGCTCCAGCTGGACATCGTGTGGTGTTACTTCCGCCTGGAACAACTGGAATGCCTTGACGACGCAGAGAGAAAACTGAATTTGGCCCAGAAATGCTTTAAGAATTGCTATGGAGAAAATCACCAGCGGCTCGTCCACATAAAAGTACGTCTGTCGCTGGGATTGGTTTAGCTGCCGCATCCGTGGCTCTCGGAGGGGCCCGTTGGTGCAGGTCATGCGTGGAAGGGAGCTGCCGACCAGCCTCCTCGGGTGCACACTCCTCAGTCACACCCTCAGCCCGTGTGGCGCGTGGCCCCTGAGGGGAGAGACTGGCCAGCGATAGGTGTCCGGAGAGAGACAGTGAAGGCGAGTGAGAACAGCTCAGGGGCAGCTTTGCTGGGCAGCGGGGAACTTGCAGGAGAGGCCCTTGGCCTTGGGGTGTCCTGGTTCCCTGCTGACCAGAAGGGCCGCGTCCAGGGGTCAGGAGCTGGGCATTGCTGCTTCTGCATGGGCTGAGGCCGACACTGCCGCAGAAGTGGAGATCCCAGGGGAGCTGCCCGCTGGCCAGGGCTGGCCAGCCAGGGTGTCTGGGGATGCCAGGGCTCAGCCTGGCGTGGCAGTGAGACCGTCTCTCTTCTCCCCCGAAAACTCCAGGGAAACTGCGGGAAAGAGAAGGTCCTGTTCTTAAGACTTTACTTGCTTCAAGGAATCCGCAATTATCACAGTGGAAACGGAGAAGAGGCCTGCGAATATCTGAACAAGGTGAGAGAGGGCCACGACTCCATCTCTGGGGGACAGTGGGCGCAGCTTGGCCCGTGGTGGCCCCGTCACGGCCTTATCTCACTCGGGCGGTGAGCAGGAGTGTCGCTGCAGACCCAGAGTCAGGAAGACCTGGGGTCACTCACCCCTCGGCACTACCCATCTGGCTACTCAGCCCCTGGGGGGGGGGGGGGGGCGTGAGGCCATGTGCGCAGTGGAAGCCCAGAGCTGCCTTACAGAGACATCTGATGGGGCCTGAGCGGTAGGACAGCGGGGACGGTGCCTGCCTTGCACGCTGCTGGCCCGGGTTCCATCCCTGGCGCCCCATCTGGTCCCCTGAGTGTGCTCGGAGTGATTCCTGAGCACAAAGTAAGCCCCCCGAGCACTGCTGGGTGTCGCCCAAAAGCAAAAACCAAAGTGATCGTAGATGCCCTGACCTCCTCTTCTAGCGAGTCACAGTGAATCTTGTGAGCAGGTGTCCCTGCGTGTGCTGTGTCGCTGACAGGAAGCGTGTGAGCAGGCGTCTGCGTGAGCTCTGTCCTAACAGGAGTCTGTGGGCTGTCGTCGGGGCGTGTGCTCTGTCCTGACAGGCCCGTTTGGAGCCCGTCACCGCCTTCCTTCAGACCTCAGACTTCGGGGTGACGTGCTCCGAATTGCCTGCTGAACCTGCCCCGGTGTCTCCCTGCAGGCGCGGCAGCTGTTTAAGGAGCTGTACATCGACCCCGCGAAGGTGCACGACCTGCTGCAATTGGGCTTCACTGCCCAGGAAGCTCGGCTGGGCCTGAGGGCATGTGAGGGCAACGTGGGCCACGCGGCTGCCCACATCACCAGCCGCAGGGAGGTGCGTGACCCTGGAGGGCCCGGCGCAGGGGGTTGCGTGTCTCTCACTCCCGCTCAGGGCTTGTTCCTGCCCTGCCGGCGGCTTCCGCCGTGTGGGGTTCCGTGTCCACATCACCCCGGGGCGCAGTCGGGGACCTGAAGCCACCTCGGTCCAGCGAGCACTGAGGTCCTTGCTGCCGGGGGTGGGGACTGCATTGGCGCCCCCCGGGCTGCCCTCACGCAGCCTGGTCCACCTTCCTGGTGGTTCTGTGAAGGCGTGAGCGGCACAGAGCGCCCCCAACCCACCCCGGAAGGGGGGTTTGTCCCCGGGAGCCAGTTCCGGTGCCAGGTGGCAGGAGCCCGTCTCCGCCCTCGGCAGCTCCGCCCAGACCCGACTGTCTGTCTCCCCAGGAGTTGGCGCAGATCAGGAGGGAGGAGAAGGAGAAGAAGAGACGTCGCCTGGAGAGCATCAACTCCCTGAAGGGCATGGGCTACTCGCTGCGCGCCGCCAAGCAGGCGCTGCACCAGGCCAGCGGGAACCTGGACGCCGCCCTCAAGGTGCGGCCCCCCCCGGGACCCTGGCAGACCCTGACGGGGAGCCCAGATGGCCAGAGGGGAGGCTGCATGTGGCAGAGCTAGGGGGCTGACCGCGCAGTGGACAGAGAACATGGTTCTCCAGGGAGCAGGCGGGGGCTTTGGTGGGGCCTGTGCGATTGGACTGGGGTGCAACTCCCGTGCTGGGGGCCTGAGTGGGTGCCTGCCAGCCAGCAGAGCCATGGAGAGGCCCGCTTGGGGGCACAGCCAGCGGCATACGGCTGTGGGGGTCCCGGGGTCTTTGCTGGGAAGGGTTTTCCCCGCAGGTCGCTTGACTGTCAGTCCCCGGGTGGCTGCGGGTGACATTGTGTCACCGTGTCCAGCGCCCTGTCCTGTGCCCGCATCTCGGGGGTGGGAGTGGGGGGGAGGGAGGTTCTGGGAGCCCTTGGGTGCCCAGCACGCTCTGCCTGTCCTGTCCTCACCGGGGCCGTGCCTCATCTCCCCGTCCCAGATCCTTCTCAGCAACCCCCAGATGTGGTGGCTCAGTGACTCCGACTCTGACAGCAGCCCCCGAGAAAGCCCGTCCCAGGAGAGCATCGACCAGGTGGGTGGGAGGCAGGGGCGGGGGCTGGGGCGGCGCTCCGCGAGGGCTGGTGGGTGCCAGCGCCGTGTCCTGCCGTCCCCCAGCTCGTGTACATGGGCTTCGAGGCGGGGGCCGCCGAGGCCGCCCTGCGAGCGTTCCGGGGAAGCGTGCAGCTGGCGGCCCAGACCCTGGCGCACAACGGCGGGAGCCTGCCCCCGGGGCTGCAGCTGGCGCCCAGCGACGACGCCGCCTCCACGCCCTCCACGTCCCCGTCCTCGTCGTCGGATTCCGCAGGTGGGTCTGGGGGGGCGCCCGGGGTGGCCCCGCGGGGGAGGCCGGCGGCCGGGCCAGGAAGGTGAGGCGCCGCGCCCCGCGCTCTGCCGCAGGGACATCCAGCGCCTCCACGGACGAGGACATGGAGACGGAGGCCGTGAACGAGATCCTGGAGGACATCCCGGAGCACGAGGAGGACTACCTGGACTCGACCCTGGAGGACGAGGAGATCATCATCGCAGAGTACCTGTCCTACGTGGAGAACATAAAGTCGGGCGCCAAGAAAAACTAAACCCTGAACCCAAATCAGTACTAAGCCGCTGCTCATAAATCCCGTGCTTAAGTCTCATGCCGGCCTCCCTTTCTTCCTTTGGGGGCCGCCCCAGGCCTTGCCGAGGGGCCGGGGGGTGGGCAGGGCGGGGGGCCGTGCTGGACGAGCGGGGCTGAGGGGCTCTGCGGGCCTGTCTGGGCCTGGTCGGTGGGGGTGGGCCCGGGCGCAGGCGCGGGTGCGGGGCAGGCACCGTGTCCCCTTCCCTTCCCGCCTGCCCTCCAGCTCTGGCATGGGCCGCAGGAACAGGCTAGCCAGCGGCGAGGCCTTCTGGGGGACCCTGAGCATCGTCACAGCGCCCGGCTGACTCCAAACATGCCCTGGGACGCAGAATTTTTGTGTTTAAAATTCTTTACGAAAATAAAAACTTTTATGAAATGGGAAAGTGGTAAGTGCTGATGCAAGCAACTTCCGTCGTGTGAACGTCACTGCTGGTGAGTCCCTGCAGAGGGGCTGGGTCCCTAGGGCCGGGGGGGTGGGGGGGTGTCCCAGTGGGTCGCACAGCCTTTCCCGGCACCTCAGACGAGAACCTGCCGCCGGGGTGTTCTGAGCCCTCCCGTGGCCACGGGCAGCTGAGCGCCTGGACTCTGGGCTTCCCGGGGGCTCAGACAGAGCTTGGCAGCCACCACAGCCCACGGCACTTGTGCAGCAGGACTGGGGGTGGGTGTGAGAGGGTGGGGGGCAGCGGGGGCCATGGCGAACACCGGTCAGCAACCCGTGCCCCGGGCTGGGCCAGGCTCTGGCTATCCAAATGCTTGGTCCGGGGCTGGCGCGATAGCACAGCAGGTAGGGCATTTGCCTTGCACACAGCCGACCCAGTTTCGATTCCCAGCATCCCATATGGTCCCTCGAGCACCACCAGGAGTAATTCCTCAGTGCAGAGCCAGGAGTAACCCCTGAGCATTGCCGGGTGTGACCCAAAACAAAAAAACCAAAAAAACAAATGCTTGGTGCATCTCAGGCAGGCTGGGAGGGACGGCAGTTACCCAAGCATGTCCTCAGTCCAGCCCAGCTGTCTCCAGGGACACTGCAGGGAGCTCGGGGAACTAGCCACACAGGGTGGCCTCAGGGTCTCTCAGGTGGCTGAGAGACGGCCCTTCCAGAGGGGGGTGGGCGGGGCAGGGGTTGGACCCCAGCGGTGGCCCCAGGTCCGCACTGCACCGTGTCCACCTAGTGCGTGTGGCAGGTGCTGACACTGGGCCTGGGAACCTGCATTTCCGGGGCCCCAGAAGGCTGACTCTGGGGTGCCTGCAGACTGGGTGGAGGCTCTGGCACCTCAGAGTGTCGAGTCCCAGGTAAAGTGTCAGGTAAGGTCCCAGCTGCTCATAGCCCAGCAGGCGGTGGGCACTCGCCTTGCTAGGCGGGCATTTGCACAGGCTCCACCCTGCGCTACTGTGGGTTTGCACCCAACGGGGGAGGGTGGGGAGGGGGGCGCTTCAGCCTGGCTTCCTGGCACCTGCCCCCTGTACTCATCGACAGGGCCGCCTCGGCTGCCCATGGAACCACACGTGGGTCTGCTGGTTCCCACTAGGGCAGTTCTAGTGCTGACTTTGTGGGGGCTGCGGAGAGGGGACTCCCCACTCAGATCCTCCAGGTCCCCCAGCCCTCCAGCCCTCTTCAGCCGCTAGTAGGGTGGGCCAACACCCCCCACCGTGACCCCGGGGCCCAGACTCCTGATGGAAGCCCCTTGATTAATCAGCATTTGTGAAGACGGGCGGAACGAGAGTCCAGGGGGAGGGTGCTTGCTTTGCTCACGGCCAATGCGAGTTTGACCCCAGAGGGTCCCCCGGAACCACCTGGAAGGATCTCTGAGCGCAGAGCCAGGAGTCACCCCTAAGCATCGCCGACTGTCGCCCCAAACCAACCAACCAGCCAAGCAAAAAAGATTTGCAAAGAACTCCTGCAATTCAATAACAAAATTACCCCATCCAAAGGGTGTGGGCTTCGCAGCGGAGAGGCCGGGTCCTTCCTGGGGTCTTCACCTCCCTGCAGGCTCAGGGCAGGGAAGAATGCCGGGGGCACCTCCGAGAGCCTGGACCATCCTGGCTGGCGCCCACAGCCCTAAAAGCCCCCACCAAATCGGGGAGCAGGGCTGGGAGGGGGCACAGTGGGCAGAGGAAGGACCCTGCAGGCTCCTGTCAGTCGGTGCTGTCGGACACCCGGGAAATGGAGGCAGGGGTGCGGGAAGAGGCCTGAGGGACCTCCGGGGGTCCAGGTGTAGCTGATGGGCACAGGGGAGGGGCTGGGGGAACCCGCCTGACTCCACACCTGAGGAAAGGTCCCGTGGAACAGGGGCTGTGGCAGGAACTGTGTAAGAACTGAGGGGCATGGGGGCTGGAGTGATTGCACAGCAGGGAGGGCGTTTGCCTTGCACGCGGCCAACCCGGGTTCGATTCCCAGCATCCCATATGGTCCCCCCTGAGCACCGCCAGGAGTGATTCCTGAGTGCAGAGCCAGGAGTAAGCCCTGAGCATCACTGGGTGTGACCCAAAAACCAAATAAATATGACAAAATCTGAGGGGCGGGGACAGGTGCTGGCCTGCCCCTGCCCCGGGGGCCCTGTCAGCAGCAGCAGACTCTGTTCCTTTAGGCCCTGCCCTTGGAGGCACCGGCTCCCCGTCAGTCTCTGTGGAAACTGCTTCTCGTGCTGGTGCACATCACTTGTTGCCTCAAAGGTCGGAGACCCGCTCCCGTCTACGCGAGTGTCCCCAGCAAACCCCCTGCACCCGCCTGACGGGCCTGGGCCACTGTGGAACTGAAGCCTGGAGTTTCAGCCCAAGATGCGAAGCCTGAATTTCCACCCCAGGGGTGAGCAGCGCTTGGAAGTGACAGAAAGAAAACAAAGAAAGCACGAGAAGCTGTCCAAAACGGAGAGAAGAGGCCGGAGAGACCAGCGAGCAGGGCTTCTGCCTGACCTGGGTGGCCCTGGTTTGATGCCCAGATCCCACTGACCCCGCTCGACCTGCCAGGAGCCGTCCCTGAGCACAGAGCCAGGAGTAAGCCCATAACAACCCCCTCCTAAATAAAGAGAGAAAATGAATCTAAAAACAAAGTGTCCGAATAAATGCATACTTGGGGTACTTGAAGAAGAGGAGAGAAAGAATAGGAAAAAATATCTGATTTTTTTTTCTTTTTGGGTCACAGCATTGCACAGGGGTTACTCCTATCTCATGCACTCAGGAATTACTCCTGGTAGTGCTCGGGGGACTATATGGGATGCTGGGAATCGATCCCGGGTTGGCCGCGTGCAAGGCAAACGCCCTACATGCTGTGTTATCGCTCCAGCCCCAGGAAAAGATATCTGAACAAGGGGCTGGAGTGATAGTTCAGTGGTTAGGGTATTTGCCTTGCATGCGGCTGACCCGGGTTCGATCCCTGGCATCCCAGATGGTCTCCCGAGCCCACCAGGTGTGATTCCTGAGCACAGAGTCAGGAGAAAGCCTGTTCCCAGTGGTTCACCACTGGAGACACCCCCTAAATAAAATAGAAAAGAAAACTGTAGGTGCAGATGGCTTCAAGGGGGAGATGTGCTGTCATCGAAGGAAGAAATGACGCTGACCAAGTCTCCACAAACCCTCTAACAGGCTGGAGCGAGGGGGTCCTTTTCAATTCCTTCCATGAGGCTTAGCCAGCATCCAAACCCAAGACTTAATCACTTAATCACTTAACTTCCCGTTAGTCGTCGATTTGCTCGAGCAGGCGCCAGTAACGTCTCCATTTGTCCCTGTCGTGTGCTAGTGTAGCCCAATGGCATCTGTTCGCTCTGGGAACATGAAGAACCTCAAACCGATCATTCATGATCTTGACGAAGAAGTCTGACCATCTGGTAGGTGGGCGGCCACGCGGTCTTTTGACATCCCGTGGAATCCAGTCGGTAACCGCTCTAGTCCGGCGGTCGTCTTTAAATCTCATTACGTGACCAGCCCATCTGATTTTCGACACCTTGGCATATGAGACAGCGTCCCTGATTCTTGATCGTCGTTGGATGTCAGAACTCCGGATTCTTTCTCTCATTTGAGTGAAACGTGATATTCCAAGCATAGCTCTTTCTATTCTTCTTTGGGAGACCTGAATAGCGTTCTCATCTTGTTTGCGTAGGGCCCAGGTCTCTGAGGCATATGTTAATGCAGGAAGAACAGTGGAATCAAAGAGATGTGCCCGGAGCCGGAGGTTCTTCGTCCTCTTAGCTATTTCTTCGACGTTCTTGAAGGCATTCCAAGCCTCTCTCCTCCTCCTGCGCAGCTCGGGTGCCAGGTCATTTCTCATGTTGACCTCTCGACCTAGGTAGACATAGCTGTTGCATTCGGAGATGGTCGTTCCGTTGGGAGCGAATGGAGCGTCAGGAACGAGGCTGTTTCTCATAAACATTGTCTTCGTAAGATTCAGCTGTAGTCCTACCTTTCCACACTCACGTTTTTTTTTGAATCCCAAGACATCCCAAGAAAAGGGCATCTCAATATTCATGGCAAACACAGATGCAGAGACGTGAAACCAAACTTCATGAATGGGCTTCAGCGGTATACAATATCCAGAAGCTTCATGGCCAAGTGACGTTCAGGCCAGGAATTAGAGGCTGGTTTAAAAATCCCCAAACTGGGGCTGGAGCAATAGCACAGTGGGTAGGGCATTTGCCTTGCACGCGGCCGACCTGGGTTCGGTTCCCAGCATCCCATATGGTCCCCTGAGCACCGTCAGGGGTAATTCCTGAGCGCAGAGCCAGGAGTAACCCCTGTGCATTGCCGGGTGTAACCCAAAAAGCAAAAAAAAAAAAAAAATCCCCAAACTTAGTTTGGCCTAAGTTTGGCACAAAGGGCCTGGAGCAATAGTACAGTAGGAAGGGTATTTGCCCTGCATGCGACAGACCCGGGTTCAATCCCTGGCATTTCATAGGGTCCCCTGAGGGGCTGGAGCATTTAGCACAGCGGGTAGGGCTTTTGCCTTGTACACGGCCGACCCAGGTTTGATTCCCAGCATACCATAGGGTCCCCCGAGCACCGCCAGGAGTAATTCCTGAGCACA